TTTTCAAGTTATTATCAGCTCATTTTTCATGTTCTATATATAGTAAAGATGAGTTAAAACCATCTCTTATTTACTACCAATATGGTCTTGAGTTGAAAAAAATCATCAGATATTTCTACAAATATTTACACTGTAACTCCTGTCAATAAGTTGCAAGAAACGTGGCCGTGTTTCCTTCCTATAAAGAGTGAACGAAGCAAGCATGTTTTGATGTTGACTGTTGTGACTTCCTTATCTATACATTAAAATGAGTCATTTTCTGTAAAAGTTAATAAATTTTAAGTTTTAAGGTACAAAACAACACATAATTTTATAAGATATGTTGTTGTTTTACTTTACAGCAATTGTTTCAACAAGTTATCCAACTTATGTAAATCCCTTTTGTTGGCCCAGATTGAAGTGCACATGGGGTCTTAAATCGGAATTAAAAAGAAAAAACATTTTTGAGGGAAAAATTTATCATTTTATCAAATTGATGCTGTAATTTCACTGGGTTTTTACACTAAACTAGGAGGTCCTTTATGTTTTTTGCTTGCATTCATATTAAACCATGTTGTGTGAGAACAACAGCTGTGAAAACACTGACAAACACAGATTATCACTGTTATACTGTATGTATACACAAACTTGAAAAAAGTTTTTAAAGGACTCTAACACAATAATGTGAAAATGATGCAGGTTTTTGTAACAATGGGAGCTGTATATGGCCAGCAATGAATCATTTCTAATGGTCTGCAGGGGGGCGTAGATTGTTAAACAAACCCTATATTGTTTAGGATGTGTGTCAATGGATAAATCAACTGATGTTGAAAAAAAAAAGTAATTTTAATTTCAAACTACAGTGTAATTGAAGGCTGTTTATCTTAATGTACATTAATTCATACCTGCGTTATCATAAGAGTAATAGTTTACTCTGTCAAATAGTTTGGAATTGATCGTTAAATCAGCCAAACTGTATCCTGGGAGTCCACTGGTAACATTTCCAGAATGAATGAATGAAAACAAAATCGAAATTGACACTATATGTAAACATATCCATGTAAAATAAACATTATGGTAGATGCGTAAGTATATTTTATTGATTTTCTGAGAGTTAGGAGTAAAATCGTGTACAAAGTTTGTCAATAAAACACATTAATTGATCTGTAAAGTAATGCTTTTGTATATGGAATAAAAGGAATGACATTCTTAAATATGTTACTTTAGTTCTGTTTGAACTACCATAGCTGTGAGCGAAGCATTTCACCTTGCTGTTTATTGAAAATTGCCGCCCAGGTATCGATACAGGAGACTGAAATAAGATATGCTGATGAGTTTTAGAAATGGCAAATTGGGAATTGTCAAATAGAACTTATTTTCATATAATTTGATTGCAAAAATAGCTTCTTTTTTGTGCTGTTTTTTAAAATAAAATTTCAGTGGCATATTTTATTTTTACATTACTTACCATACTACAAATGATATTTCTGTGTTACATTTTCCCAAAGTTTTAAGATTATTTGTCAAATAAATGTTGATTAGCACAAACTATAAGCTTACACATTTCAGTGGTAATGTTATTACATAAAATATGGCTGCGCTGATTTGAGTTTTATGTGTGTTAATCATGTAACAATTGAATTTGCAAACAAGTTATGTTTATGTGCTATAATTTGATTATGCTAAATCATGTACATTTTAGTAATAGATGTTAACAGTAGTTAAATCTTCCACACTCTTGATAGATAATTATCAGAATGGTAAGGTTTATGAAAATTTTCTTAAGAGTAATGTGGTTGGCAGTTTATCTGTCCTGTAAGTAAATTATGGACCCTGGGTTAGCATAGATTTTCAGAAATAGAGATCATGGATGTTCATGAACTTTTCAGGTGTGTAGTTGCCATGTAATTTGCTCACCCTATCTGATGTTCAATTTTGTCATACAACTGTTCTCACAAAATAATATCAAGCCATTTTTCAATTTCGTAATCTTTATGCATTCATCAACATTTTGAATGTTATATGTCCGGCCTAAATCAGAACAGACCTGCAAACATTGATACAGGCTTCAAAAAGTGTTTTCATCAGGATCATCTGAATATTGTATTATCATCTATTCATTATCAGGAAGCAAAATGAAATAGTATTACATTCACAAGCAACCATGATTCGATCTTGTCAAACCAACGAACGAAAAGGGCCCAGGTGTCATTCAGGTTTTAACATCTCTTGTCTATATTTATGTATGTTTACTTATCAAATGTATTATTTCCTAAGGAAATGAATTGTTTCCTTTTATGGTGTTTTCTGTGTATGTCATAAGATTGTTGTAGTAATGGACACTATTTACTGTGTTCTCAATTCTGGACTTTAAAGTACCTCAGTACTGGGAGTTACGTCGACATTACAATGACATCCCCGTTAGAAACTATCCTATTATTACCTGTCTATTATTGAGTTCAAATTCAGGGACCAAACACTTCAGATTAGATATCAAACTAAGATGTTTATGGTTTAGATAAAATACCTGTCTGATAATTTGTCATTTTCAGATTTTGTAGAATGGATTTTAATGATCACCTGAAGATGATATGATTTATCACCTTTGTATTTACCCAAGTATATTGCCTGGCCTTGGGATTAGATATTATGAAAAAAAACCCTGACCGTTCACCATGATCAAGCATTGATTGAATCATACATATTTCAGACAAGTGATAATCATAAACTTACCGGGTATGTCAAGGCCAAAACAGATTGAAAATTAGGGTCATATTCTGGGACTATGAAAAGGCATTTTTAAGTAACCCTTTATAGAAGCCTTGCTGAGATATTATAGAAAAGAACCCATGGTTAAAGATTGTGAAAAACCGATCAAGTATTGGACACTTAAACTCTTCAAACCGACTAAGCTAAAACAAGATGTTTGCAGATTAGGGATCATTCAGAGATAGGTATTTGATATGGTGACTTAATCTGCTCATGACCATATAAAAGACCAAATGCTTGTGAAATACTAAAAATTAACACACAACGGTGTAATAATGGGGAACAATGAATCAATAGACACTTTGATTTATTTTTGTAATTGATAGTTTACTTGCAAGGGTTGTGTTTAAAAGTGAGTTTCCATGTTCATCACTCTAAGTGAAAAAAAATATATTGATGATTTAGAAACATAAAAAAATCCCTTCTGAAGGATCACTAAAAAATGTTAGGTGCTCTTGGACAAATTCTGTTGCTCAAGTTGTCTGGATCAAAATAAGATTTGACTGTGAGGTAAACTATCATAGCTTCTTCACTTTCTTTGGTATTGAGGATGGTACACTATAGGTTGTATAGATCTACTCTAGCTGAAATAGACCTGATTCAAGGTTTTAATTTTCCTCTTCACTGAATGGTACGACACCCAACCTTTCACACTTAAGTGTAGATCATTCTTTAGCCATTTTATATCAGTGTCCGGGAACCCTTGGTGAGATTACAAAGAAAGGCTTTCCCAACCATGTCCTCAATATCTGACAGCTGACATAACACCTGAATTAATTGATAAACAAACTTTTCAGTGTTTGAAATGTAACATGTTATCATGTCTTCATAACATTTAAATAAGATTTTACCTGGAATTTTAACACTTGTTTACTTAACTTTAAATTTCTAAGTCAGCTGTGGCATGTTTAAGAATATTTTGTTTACTCTGTATAAGGTTTGGTACATGCTTGTTGATACATTGATGTTTGGATCTTCTATCATTTATACAATTCAGAAAGCTACACAATCAATCACTTACAATGGATAGAAGACCAAATAGTTAATAAACAGATATCGTGCAATGAATTGTCTATGTTTTCGTATAAAGAGTAGGCATGATGACGCCATTCCAGGGATCTAGGGATAGTGTCAGACCATACAATTAATTATAAGATATTAGATGGACTTCAAAATGATCCTAACACAAACCAAATCTAGATAGGCCCCCAACTCTTCCTCTCAGCTTCTGGACACGTTTCAGCTACTAGAGTTAGGGTAAGGCGCTATTAGGCCCTAGAGCCATCTTCTAAAACTAGTATAATCAAGCTATCATCGCTACGGTTCCATCCCACTGAGGGAATGCAGGTTGCCCTCCCACATGTCCAGAACACTGAAGTTCGTCAATGAGGCGATGTTTGGACATGGGAGGAGTTTCAAAGACAAAAAACCTGTCAACCAACCAACCAACCAGAATTGTCATCCATTGATTCCATACATCCTCTGTAGTGTTCAAACCATATCAATGGGTCATGGATAATTTATGCTGTTGCCATAGCAGTGCAAAATGGTTTTTAATACATTTCTTTCTGCAATATCTCCTTCTGTTTCATCATGTTTTAAATCAATGTCATATATTGAGAACAATCAGCAGATTTGGTTCATATTTACCCAATAGTATTATAACATCAAGTTCTTCACCTGACATATTCTGATTTCAATGGGAATTTTCTTGTCAGTTTTTGATTTCTATATTCTATATCATTAGTACATATATACTTCAATGAGCTCATGAATGGATATTGGTCAAATTCATTGATTCTTGGTATCATAAACTAAAAATTGCTTTGTGACATAAAAGAAAAAGACTTTGCAGCCAAAACAATGATACAAGTATCTAAAATTTTAATTTGATCAATATAAGCAAATATTGTATTAAGAATATCTTAAACGTTGGCTTGTTATCAGGTAAGCTTTACGTTTGTTTCAAGGGTTTAATAAAATGCTATGTGAATTTTTCATTTCAGCTTGTAAAAGGCATGCAAAAATGAAAAATATTCTTTGATCTGTGTAAATGTCAAATATCTCCTTGTAACTAAGATGAAAATGTAAGAGCTTACATGCATATGAAATGAAAAATACGTAAAGATTATGGTGTAAGAGTGGACAAAAAGAGCATGAATCTACCAATAGAGATTGTGAAGATTTTAACATTGTGTTTCTCTTCTGTACAGTGATATTGTAAAGATTTTGGCTTTGTCTTTTTCCTACAGCAATTCCCAAGCCCCCTCCTCCAATAGTTGGCAAAGTAACCCACCAGTCTATTGAGCTATACTGGGACGAGGCCCTCGTTCATGCCTACAGTGTAGGTGACAAGGCCAATGGCAAGATCAAGTCATTTTTACAGGAGAAAGACCGTGGTGGACAGTGGTGTGGTGCCTACACGTAAGTCTTTACAAAATTATTAATGTTTATAACGAAAGAGAAAATATTATCCTGCCTGCATGGATATGTCATGCTAGCCCAGAATTCTTCTGAAATCCTGTTATATGTCTTGCTAGTTGGGATTCTGTTTGGATTCTGCAAGGATATGCTGTAATAGACAGGATCTTATTTAATGATCACATAGTGAAAGACAGGTTGCGAGCCCAAATGACAATGCAAGTTTGGGTTCGACCAGGGTCTGTAAAGCTAAATCAACAAATAAATTATCTGTCTTTGAGAAGAAAAAAGAACTTTCTTTTGATGTGTAATACATTATTAAAAGTGAGTCTAAACACCATTATTTTAATAAAAAGGAATAGTTACCATGTAATGGAAAACTTGGTTGTTACAAATAAAGGGAATAATGCTGGGATTAAGATGAATTGGTTTTGTGTTGATCCTGAATTCTGATAAACAAATAATCCAGATGGTCAATTGTTGATCTAATAAGTCTGGATGACACAACAGTAGATTGTTGAGAGTAAAGTTCTTTTCATATAGTCTGAAAGAAAGACTGATCAAATTGAAATTTGTTTTTTTTCATCCCTGAGGGCAGGTAGATTGTACATATCTAAAAGTCTTGATAGCATGTTGCTTTTTTGTAATGTGAATAGATACTGTAAAAGCATTAATTTTTGTGAAGGATTCATTTTTGTAAAATTCGTAGGTATTCTAAATCCATGTCAGGAAATTGTAAATGAAGACATATTATAGTGTAAGCGGATTACACGAGCAAGATTTGACCATTAAATCTAGTGACAATGAAATTAATATTTTTTGGAAAACCATGAATATTTGAGCTTCACAAAAATATCTAATTTTCGGTAGTTATATTTTCTTATTATTCAGAATCTAAATGATAGATGGCTTCTTGTTGGCAATTTTACTTTCCTGAGTCAGAATGCAGGGAGTTTGAATGATGTTTTATGTCATGGTCTGAAGTGTCTGTATGAAGATGATTGTCAATCTGCAATGTTGATGTAATTAAGTATACACTTATTTAAGGACACAAGGTTACTGTATAGCCAGGTATTTTCACATTACATTAGCTTTACCATGCAGTAATGAGACAAGATTGCATTAGATATCCTTTTACATCCAGATTTGGAAATTTTCATTCATTAAGATACAAATAGACTGTTTTGAAAAAAAAAATCATACTAGCAACGACAGCAGATCTAAAGTGCCTGATTTACCAATACATATTACTACTCAACAGGCCATTCTAAAGTTAAAGATCTCTTGAGGAGAAGTTCCTATTCAGTCTTAAACCTCAAATTTTGATACATATTTTCAAATGTATTCACAGCAATATGCAATTTTCAAATGCAAATATTTGATTTACAAGGATCAATAGATTCAAAACAATGGCACGATCGTAATTGTTTACTCACTTGTCTTATCGCCTTTATGTTAGCTGTTATGGCCTCTGGGTCAAATGAATGATAATTGTGTTATTGATACATAGATATATATATAATCGATATTTCAAAATATTATATAGTCTTTTTATATGAATATATCAAGCGTTTTGAGAGTCCTAAACTGTTAACTTCCAAAAAAATCGCTGATTTGTTGACCTGTGACATCTCTCAATGTTGCCATGGGAGGGCACTCATATAAAATTCACAATTTTTGAGAGTTCAGATAGCATAGTGGAAATGCATTCGCCTTTCACAGAGCAGTGTTTCATGGTTTCATTCACAGAATGGATGTGAAAAGGTATGGGGTCACCTGCCTGACCACATAGGTCTTCCTCAGTACTCCTGTCTGGTCCCATGGTATGCTTTCATACATGCCAACAAGAGTGATTAGTATAATTTGCAATGACTTGTTTCTCAATATTTGTGAAATATAGGAAATTTAACCTAAATTTCATTGATAATTTGTCATTAAATAGCTTTGCCAAATAATACGGTATGAGTCAATGGGTAATTATAATTTTATCAGTCTGTGCTAACAAAATTCATCACCAATTGATAGAACCTTGGACTGAATTTTGTCATTAACCTTCCACTGGTACTATTACTGATTTTCAATATGTAAGGCCATGTTTTGTCTGTATATCAATTTTGACCTTTAAGACCTTCTAGTGTAAACAGTACTAAGGCACTAAAATACTAGGAAAACACATTCTGCTATGTAAATAGCGGTGTTTATTGGAGGGTATTGACCCACAGCTAATTACATACCTGGCCATACAGATGTTAGAAAGTTGATTATCATTGATGTTTTGATAGCGTCTCAAGAATCAAAGACGTTTTCCCTTCACTGGTACACAGATTTTCTGCAGCCAGTCTGACTAAATATTGACTCAGGACAACCTCAAAACGTTTCACGGATTACATTGACAACCATGATTGTTTACGGTCTGATGTCGTATGATATGGTGGTTTCCATTCTACAATCTGGTGGTGTAATAGCCCCAAGTTAAATTGATTTAGATTTCAGCAGGTTATCAAAATAAATGGATTTTTGTTACATAATCTAGACCCATTTAAATACATACACTTGAATCTGTAAAGCCGATAATGTAGGGTATGCATTCAGGATAAATATGTTTTGTGTGTTAGAAATATTGTTCAGTCTTTTTTTCTATAGATAGAAGGGAAATTTCAGGTTGTAGGAGTCCTGAAAATCATTGATCCATATGATAAAAGGAGACTTAGTCTAGCTATATTATAATTTTGGCTTCAGAAAATCACACTATATGCTATGTAATGAATGTGGTGGATAATATGTGTGTGGAGAACATCACAAAAAAAGAAAGGAAGAAATGAAAAGCCAGAAGCAAACCAATATTGTGTGAAATTACGAGAAATTGAAAAATACGCCTGACAATTAACATGACTATTTCTTTGTCCAAAGGGAGACATGGAAGAGATTTGTCAGACAGCTCTTCAAAACCAATCATAAAATTAGTCAGATTTTTGGGGTTGAAGTTATAAGAACGAGAAAGACAGTAATTGCTTGTGGTACTTTGTTTATGCCATACCTTATACAGTAAAATCAGAGAGATTGTTGGTTCTGTTAATAGCCATTGTCTCTATTAAGGAAATCAATGTTTGTGATTTTGTCTCCAGTTGGGAGAAATAACATGTATGCATATTTTCTAGTCTTGTGGCCAGTTAAAGCCGAATGGCAAAATTATTATTTAGATGTTAAACCAATGTTTATAACAATTATTGTGTCGAGAATGATTTGTCGCTAGACCATAAATGTGTTTATACATTCCTGGGATGTCTGTTACACCATACCTTCGGCTTGACTTATTTATAAAGTGTATGGCAATAAGTATCTTCTAGCCTTAGATTCATCAATATTTCACACATTGTTGTGACGAATAAGACATTTCATATCCACCCAATTATACATGCTTTTCTGACGATTTAAGGATATAAAAATTTATAGTCAAGGGTTAAACTTGTGAAATTGTTTTGTAAACAAAAAGTTTAATATAAAAATCAACAAGTACCTGTTGGTTTAAAAGAAAGAAAGACTTGCTGTCAGAATTGTAAATGCTGAAACCCTCAGCATGTGGTATATTATTAAAGTTGTACATGTTTGATGGGATATCTTATATGTATAGAATTATTGGGGGTGAATTAATTTTTCAGAGCTCGAAAGTTGTTTTGAAATTTATTCAATAATACACATGCACATATTCCATTTATAATTGATCTCATTTGATGTACAATGATTTCATTATGCGTGAAAACTGTCTTTTGATAATTTTTTTTGTGTCATCTTCACTTATTGAATTAAACTTAAAGGAAAATAGTCTTTAATATTGGTAAAAGTGAATATACATTTCAATGTGAACCATTCTGGTCCATTATATTTCAAAATTGTGGTATTAAAGTCAAATTAAGATTGTAATAAATCTTTAAAAAAAATATGTGTTCATTTGACTTCTTGGATTATTTTCTGCTAAATGTTTTAGAATGGTTCTCACAAAAGAAAAATGCTGTAAATATCTAAGAATTTTGAAGAAAATTTAATATAAATTTTACTTTTTACAAATATTGAATGGGTATGAGTACTCATGTATTGAAATCAACTTTACATCGTTATATATTGAAACTACTCAAGCGAGATAAAATTTGTTAAGATATACCATAGATTTAAACTTATCATGAAATTTGATGAATAATAACCAAAGCCAGAAAATGAAATACTAACATTCTCTTTTAGAATCCTTGCAGGTTTAGAGATTTAGAAAGCTTCAACAGTTAGTATGTGATACCATTTGCAGAATATTGGATATATTTTTGTACCATCTACTTTGTGGCTACAAAGTCAACAAAATAAACCCGCTTACTAAAATTCTTCAATCCCGACTTCAATCACAGTTTTTATGATGACTTTACCTTATCAATAAATTTCTCACCTGCTTGAGCCCGGAAGACCCTTATCAACATAGTATTGACAAGCTTGGTATTACTTGTAAAGTTTATTTGGATCTAATTTCTTGATTTATAAAACCATTGAATTCTTGAGATTTATTTTCAATATTAAGAACAATTTTCCTAAATGACCAGTAATTCAGGATTATGCTTGATGTTTACTTTTAGTAAGTAGACAAGATATCGCTGGAAATCCTGTGTACACTGTTAATTCTTAATGTCAAAACCAGCATTAGAGTTCAGATTTCTACTGGTGGATATACTGGAAAATTGAAAGCTTACCTGCAGTAGTTGTTCAATTAAAAAATTTTAATTCAAATTGGACTAAAATGAATTTAAAATCATGCCAACATCTAGCATTTGTAAATAATTCCTTGTCAAGAGATAAAGTCTATTGATAGAGCATTTGAAAAAGATTTTGGCAAGTGCCAAAATTGTTCAACTTTATTACTGCCAATTACTTCGTAAAATCAATCATCTTCAAACTTGTTTGACATGTATAAAATCAATCATCTTCAAACTTGTTTGACAAAGAAAACTCCGGGAATATAAACA